CTTGATCTTCCAGTGCAATATGAATATGAAAATAACCTGAAAAACCATTAAGAAAACAGTAATGTGATTTACCAGCTATCCGTTCAAGCATCTGGTCAATGAACGGCAAAGGAAAATGGTCCTTTCTAGTCGCTTGGTTCAATCTCCTGTAATCAATACAAACTCTCCAATTGTTCTGAACTCTAATGGGAACAAGTTCGTTCTTTTCATTTTTCACCACTGTGAGTCCAGATTTCTTAGGTACAACCTGCACTGGACTTACCCATTTGCTGTCAGAGATAGGATAAATGATACCTGCTTGCAAGAGTTTGGTTACCTCTTTCTTCACAACATCAAGAATCAAAGGATTAATCCTCCGTTGGGGCTTCCTTACTGTTTTTGCTCCATCCTCAAGTAAAATCCTGTGCATGCACATCGATGGACTAATACCAGGGAGGTCGGCTAATGTCCATCCGATTGCCTTCTTGTGTTTCTTCAGAACCTGCAAAAGCTTATTTTCCTATTTGAAATCAAGGTTAGAAGAAATAATGACAGGTAATTTTTCATCACTCTCCAAATAAGCGTATTTCAGATTATCTGGGAGTTGTTTCAGCTCTAAGGATGGGGGCTGCTCAATGGATGGAGTGATTGGGGCAGCCGGGATGTCAAGAGCTTCCGCTGCATAATTAAATTCATTGACAACAACATCACCTGTAGAAAACACATCAGCCTGCAAGGCAGCATCAATCTCAGCACATACAACACATATGTTAGTGTCAGTACAATCAGAACACGAATAAACATCATCAAATGCAGATAAAGATGGAAAATCTAATGAAAACAATTCAGAACAAGTTTCATCCACCAAATCAGAGATTAATTCAATGTGAAAAACGGAATGCTCCTCCAATGGATGTTTCATGGCATCAAAAATGTTAAATTTTACGACAATGTCACCAAATTCCATGGACATGGTTCCATCATCAACATCAATCTTTGTTTTTGCCGTTTTCATGAATGGTCTGCCTAAAATGATGGGAGCTTTACTGGACTTTGTTTCTCCTTCCATGTCAAGAATGTAAAAATCTGCAGGAAAAATCAAATCATTAACTTGAACAAGGACATCTTCGACTACACCGACGGGGCGGGCGTTACTCCTGTTCACCAACTGAATGATTATACCTGTATGCTACAAAGGACTAAGACAAAGGTTATTATAAATAGAAGTGGGCATCACATTAATTTCCGCTCCTAAATCAAGCATACAATTATCAAATTGCTTATCCCCATTGGTACAAGGGATAGCAAATGTTCCTGGATCCTTCTGCTTTTGTGGCAACAGCTGAGTAGTGAGGGCTAAAACATTATGCTCGCCTACAACCTTTTCGGATGAAGGCTTGGGCTGAATAAATGCAGAAATATTTCGTCCCAAGTTTACTCGCTCACTTCCTTTCATCCGCCTCTTGTTTGTACACAAGTCTTTCAGAAACTTCGCATACTTTGGTACCTGCTTAATCACATCAAGAAGAGGAATATTCACAACAACCTTTCTAAATACATCTAAAATCTTGTTGTCCCCCTCATCAACTTTTTTATTTTTCAAAACTCTATGTGGGAAGGGGACTGGTGGAACATACTCTCTTTCTTTATTTTTTTCAGTTTCATTCATAACAATAGAAGAAGGGACAAAAGATGGAGAAGGAGGAAAAGAAAGAGAAGGTTCAAATGTTACCTCAAGGGCTGATCCTATAACCTTACCAGATCGCAAAGAAATTGCACTTACATTGGCATTTGGACCATTCGGATTGACAACCGTTTGGGCTGGAAGTTGGTTCGAACCTTGGGCTTGCATGTTATTTATTTGAGTAGCAAGCTGTCCCATTTGCGTGTTCAAGATCTGAATGCTAGAATCGGTCCTTTGTTGGAACTGAAGGTTGTTGACAGCCATTTATTTAACAAGATCCTCTAGGGATGGTCCGGAAGGTGCAGGGGCAGCCGGTTGAGGTGGATTCTGTTGTTGGATGGTTTGTGGATTTCCATATCGAAGGTTGGGATGATTCCTCTAATTCGAATGATATTTGTTGGTGGACAGGTCAGGGATGTTATTGTACCTGTTTTGGTTGTAAAGGTTGGCTGCATAAGCTTGGGGCAGCTCAGTGATAAATTCATCTCTCAGAATGGGACATGTATCAGTCGGGTGCTCAGGGGAAGTACAAATACCACACAGAGTTGATGTTTGAGTTTTTGCTACTGCTAGTTGTTTGACTAATGCTGTGAGCTCATCAATTGTTGGAAGAAGAAGCTTGAATTTGATTCACTCCTTTTCTTTGTGCAGAATTGTCTCTAGTTGTAAATTACTGAGAATTAAGAGACATATTCTCTATTAGAGCTTTGGCAGCAGCTGGAGTTTTATCAACAAGTGCTCCACCACTAGCGGCATCAAGAATGTTTCGGTCCATCGGTATCAACCCCTCATAAATGTACTGGATGAGTAATTGCTCAGTGATCTGATGTTGAGGACAACTGGATACCAAGTGCTTGAACCTCTCCCAATACTCAGTAAGTGACTCATTACCTTGTATGATACCGTAAATTTCCTTTCTTATTGAGGCAGCTCTAGAGGCAGGAAAGTATCGCTCCAAAAACACCTTTTTCAGCGCATTCCAGCTTGCAATTAAATTTGGCTCGAGGTAGTACAGCCAATCCTTTGCTGCACCCTCCAATGAAAAAGGAAAAGCTCGAAGTTTGATGTGATCTTCAGTGATACCTCCAGGCTTCGATGGTGTAGAGCATACAACCTGAAACTCTTTCAAATGTTTGTGCGGATCCTCACCTGCAAGACCACTAAACTTGGGCAACAAGTGTATTAAACCCGATTTTAATTCAAAAGGAACAACAACATCATCATAATCAATACACATGCCATTATAATTTATATCAGGGGCAGCCAATTGCCTTAAGGTTCTTTGGTCAGCCATATCAATAACAACTTCAGAATCAGAATCAAACAGATAGTGCAAGTAATCAGAATCAGACTCAGACTCAAACTCAATTGTGAGTGGTGGACTAGTGTTAACTTGGACTCTCCTACATTGTGTGTGCAATGTTCTTTCTACCTCAGGATCAAAAGCAACAAGCTCAGGACAGCAGGACCTAGTAGCCAGGACTAATACGCAACAATGGTAACAAAGCCCAAAATACCAACAATGTCCCTAAAAGCAAAAACAAACACAAAGAAGGAAAACGATTAATTTTTTTTCAAAAAAATAAACTGAACACGAAATTCTTCTAATGGACGAAAAATAGAATTTTGATGATTTTTTTGATTTTTTTCGACTCTATGAAAACAGTAAATAAATCATAAAAAATAGGAAAATGATTTTTTTTGGCATAAACTAGTCGGAGCAGATTTCAAATCGGACTCAATTTTCAAAAAAACGATTTTTTTTACTATTTTGACTCAAAATGCGAATTGGCTTAAACCGAAAGGAAACTAGGACCTAGACACGAGAACACTAAACCTAAGACTCAAAAATTAGTTAATAGTATCAAGAATCCCTGGCAACAGCACCAATTTGATTCGCTGTTGCGCGCGGATCAAAACGAGTGTTTTTACGCAACGGTTTCAAAACTGTAGTATTTAGCGACAAATGGCTCGAATATCGTTCTCAAGGATTCTTGAAATATTATTAACTAACGGAATTCGAATTAAAGGGGGGGGGTTGGTTCGATTTTAGGCAGATAAGCTGATTATGAAAAGTGATTATAAAATAAGTTGTTTTTGATATGAATGATTATAACAAACAGATTCACTGCCTCGGTTCGTACCTATCATCGACTGCTAACATTACAATCTCCTAAGCAAAGTTTTTATCCTATTTGACTGCAGTATCAATTAACAAGCGCGATTGACACTATGAGATACATGTTCCTATGGTCGGATTAAGCATACGGTTAAAAGTGACGCAAATTAACAATTAAGCAAAGTCAATCGCGATTAAAATTTAGGAACATTTATCAATCAAATTAAATCAATAATGTTATATGAAAATCGAATTAAGCAAACAACAATCTCATAACATAGTTGAAAGGAATCGAAATTAAATTGCAAATGCTATAACAATCTCAAAGTTGGAACCTGAGTACAGTAAATCCGTCAGAAAGATTTTAGTTCTCCATTGATTCGTACAAAGCTTTCTCTTTTTCGTGAACCGTGAATGGGATTCCAAAATTATGTAGTATCTAGGTAAAAACTAAAAAGAAACAACCCAACAGGGTCGGATACAAAACGCAGGCCCAAAACAAATGACCCAAACTTAAATATAAAATGCTGCAACTTCAAAGACTTTTTCAACCTTGCTACATCCCGAATCAGCATCTGGCCACAACTAGAAAGTTGTAGGTCTTTTTCTTAGCTTTCCAACCAATATTAGAACGCCTCAATCCGATTCGCGTAGCTCCAGTTATGAATTTTTCCGCAAAAGCTACAGTTGCTGAAAATAAAATACGAAAATTAATTAAATGCAAAAATAAAATAAATTAGCAAAACATATTAAAACATAAAAATAAACACAATAAACTAAAGAAATGCATTAGTATAATCATGGAAGGATGTGCATCAAAATGCACTGATCATATATAAACTTTAAAGTACCTGGAAATACCATATATAACCTTTTGACAATAAATTTTAATTATTCTAATTTCAGGGTTAAAAGTTACTAATTACACCCTTCTTGTAATTATATGCATTTGATATTAAATGTTGTGTTACTCTTATATTTTCTCTTACTCATTTATTTATTTTAATAATCTCTATGTTGGTTGAACTGTCTATTAAAATTCTGGGATACGTCGGAAACTAAATTCAAAATCAAAATCATTTATTTGGACAATGGAAAGTTTCACAACTTCCCATGATGGTTATCAATTAGTATTATAACTATGAGTTTTCCATCAATCATCATTCCAATCTATGCGTCCATCTTTTTCTTCCATAACTCTCTCTGCGTCAAATCTCCATGTGTTCAATCTCCCATAACTCTCTCTGCGTTCAATCTCCCATAACTCTCTTTGCATCCAATTTTCCTTCTTCCATCTCATTCCCGTGCGTATGTTAGAACTATGGCACGCCCTATTTCTTTTTCGATTGTCGTTTTTTCTCTCATTTACTTGCTTTGGTTATATAATGCTTATTTGTTTGATATTTATGAATCTATATCTAACGTCATGTTTTTTGTATGGTTTTTTCAGCTTTGAGAACACTTTATGGCTCGTCGAAAACACACGTTTTATGCGCCTCAATTGCTTCATCAAATCTCATCGAAAAACAGTTTAGATCTTGCGGAAGAAAGCAACGAAGGAAGGCAGAAGCTGAAGGTACCAATATTTCTTTCAACGAAGAAATAATTTTCTCACCCTCTTATGTCACTACAATTAGGTTTTTTTCATTTCATTTTGTGAATCCAATTCTTTTATGAGTTATGAATAAGAATTGTGTAAGGGATCTAACTGAGGTTTTAATTATGAATTAGTTGATAATTTAACCTCAAATATGTGATTGTGAAGCTTTAGATCTAACTGAGGTTCTATAATCAAAATCATATTCTATATGCAAAAAAATTGTTATTTTGGGGTTATGGGTAGTATTTGATCTTGGTTTAAATCAAGAGTTTCAAGCTCTGGAAGGCCATGATATTGGAAAGTTCCTACGTTTATTCTACTTCATTTAATCATCAGTAAGCGTTAATGATATCATGTTTTGATGAATTTGTAGTTTTTCTCTCTTTTAAATTGTTGTCTATGGGCATAAAGAATACACATCTATGGAGACACACCGACCATGGCCATCTGATAAGAATACCCTTTTAACAAAATGATCGGGCTGTGCTTTTTCCTTGAATGCTTACTGGAAGATTTCAGGTAATAGAATTTTTTCCATATGTGTTTCTTAGGAAGTTTATCCAAACATGATCAAACACATATGTTCACCTTCTGCTAAACTTAATTGATTAGTTTTGTAGTTTAATAAGGTGTGGTTTCTTTGGTATCTCAATTAAATTATATGTTGATTTGGAATTTTCCTCTTGATTATGCAGTTGGTTATGCTATTATGGAATTATTTTTCTGTTGTTTTTATCGATCCGAGAAGTTTACTTTCAAATTGGAAGCCTACAATTGATAAGGAGATAGGAGAGGAAGATCCATTAGTTGGTGCAGAACTCATGAACACGATTTCTGATCTGTCCAATCAAAGGATTTGGTACTGCAGAAGTTTAATCATCTCAAGTCACCTTGATGCCATCATTGATCAGTTTGATTGAATTGTTTATATGATAGTAATGAATGATATGTATACTTCATCGATGGTGATGTTGGTTATCTCTAGAACTTCTGATTCCATATGAGAAAACTTACATTGTTGATTCAACTATAAAAGCCATCGTGTTATTTCAGTTGGTTAATGTATTCATGAATGTTTTGAATCATTCTAATCTTAATTACTATTTTGTATTAGGTTTCTCTGCAATTAGATCTGTTTCTCAATGGACTCACCAACATGTTCAAGCACAACACTGAAAAGGGTTCTTTTTGAGTTGCTCTCAAATGATGTATGTGTTGATTATGTTTTGTTTTTTATACTTAGTGAAGGTTTTGGGTTTATATGTTCAGAAGTATAACTTAGACACTGCTGGAACAACTCTTGCAAGTAATTCAAATTTAATCATTTGATGATTATATGTTGATTTCTACATGTATAAAAACCAGCACTAACATGTCGATACCGTTAATTAGGTTGCTTTGTTTACATGATTGTTCTGTCTATATAAGTTGGATTACTTTGTTTACATGAATGTTTTGTCTGTAGAAGTTGGGTTGCTTCTCTGTAATGCTATCCGAAATTAATAACATATATTTATGATTAAATTGGATTCTTCTGACTATTGGTTTAAGTGCAGTGAATCAGTGTGATTTTTGTTGTTTGCGAAGCTAATATGGAAAATTTGTTGTTGCCGATTTGGTAAACAAGCTGCAACATAAAGTTGTTGCTGCTGATTTGATAAAAAAGCTGCAGCATGCCTTTGTGTAGATTATGGAAAGCCTTAAGTTCAAGTTATTTAGGTTGGATCAAGTAATCATTTTGCTCTATATGAAACTAAAACAAAATGGCATGATATCTATATTACCTGAACCACATCATGGTTTTATTTTTGTGTTAAAAGGTTTCATATGATTATTCTGAGTTTGTGTGTCTGCGGGAAGAATCACAGTAGAACAAAGAGCTTGGTTTCATTGAGAAAGCGATGGTTAACTATCTGTGCAAACTAGCTACTAGGTATGCAAACTCTTTCTGCAGAGAGATTCCCAGTATAACAAAGGATTGTTGTTAACTGTCATGGATCACATGTAGCTGAAACAACAACTAGCTATGTCAACTCTGTTGAAGCAAAAGTTTGCAGTTAATTGTTGTCTATGTCGCAGTATAACGACATTGACGGAAGCCTTCAAAGTATTAGTTTTTACAGGTAGCTGAAACATCAACTAGCTAATGTATGTGTCCACTATGGAACATTAATTTTTTGACCTATAGTAGCGAGTTTCTATAATTTTTTATATTTACTAATTTAAACTCAAGTTTTTAAATAATAGTACATGATGCCCTGACCTCTTTTCGGTTTTTTTATTTGGTTTCATATAGAAAAACATTGTTATAGAAAGCAATGGGAAGTAATTGAAATTTTATATCTGGTTCTAAAATGCCAATCTTCGAGTTGATAGCGTTTTTCACCGTTAATGTTTGATGGAATATTGTGTAAGTGTTGGTTGTATCCTATGGGTTGTCTGTGGGTTTAATATCTTTCATTGAATTTCCTACTAATTCAGAGTCCAATTTTTGTGAATTTAAAAATTTGTGTATGAAGTGTTGATTGTATCCTATGGTTTGTTTATGACCAGTTTTAAATACTTCAGTCTAGAAACAATAAATACAATTTTGATCTATAAACTTCTATGCATGCTTGGAAAATACTTAGAAGTGTATTTTATTCAAAACTTTGAGTACAGTGCTCTTATATTTTGTCATTTTATACCAGTATTTTGTTTTTGACAATATTACATATGAATAAAAAACAATCTTCTAAAATTGTTCGAAGTATTTTGAAACATTTTCAATAGAATAATTTACTCAATTGTGTGATTTAGAAACTTTCCTAATAATTTTACTCAATTATTCAAAGTCATTTTAATCAGTTCGACTGAATCAAACCTATATTCAAGAGCTTATTTTACTAGATAAGCCTAAACTGAGTAGGCTATAATGATGGACAGATCCATAACTTGAGGTTCAGAATTTACTGACCGTGAAAGGAAAAAACTACCTGATCTTCTCTTTAGTTTTTGTTAATGTCAAGGAAAAAGTAATTGTATTTGTTGGATGGTCCCTGACAATCAAGTTAAGCACTTCAGACCCGGCATAATGTCCAACAACATCAAAATTGAACTTAATTGTTTCTAATTCTTAAATACCTATGCATAAGTTTCAAAAGTTAGGGCATAGCATTCAACTTATATAGGCAACTCTCATTACAAAGAAGCTAAGAAAAAGTATGACATTAAAAATAATTATTCATAATAGAGCTTCAAGAGAGCCCAAGATACGTGTCATTAAATTACCTATGATTAATTATTCCTCAGAATATAAACAACCTCAATAGGTTTTTTAGTTTAGCAGGTTATTTCCATATATTAGCTATCTTTATATGGTATCTAAGATGCATGCAGATTTCCAACTATAAAGTTTAATTTGGTTGGTTTCTTACCGTTCAAGTCTAATTGTCTTTTTATAAGGTGTAATCCAACTAAACTTCAAATATTGAAACAAAGAATGAAGGCTGAAAATATTTCATACAAATTTTTACATTTTCCATATAATTTTTCTAACTTAGTCATCCTTATAAACGAGAATAGGTTATAAATATTTTTATAAACGGGAAAAATATAACTATTGATATAATTATTTTTATAAACGAAAATAAATTACAAATATTATTTATAAATTGACACACGAGTTCAAGACACTTTAAACGAGAAAAAAACTACATATTGATACAATTATTTTTGGAAATGATGATAAGTTACAATTATTTTTATAAATGTGAGTAAGTTACAAATATTTTTAAAAATATATCTACAAATAAAATGGATTCATCCTGAAAAAATACTACCAAAAACAAGTGTTTTGTAGGAACAAACTAATTAGTTAAACAAGCTAATTAGTTGTGAACATATCTACGGGTATAAATCTAGGGGTACATCTGAACGTATCTATGAGATACTAGCTGTAGACCGTTTATTTTAATATTCATATTTTGTTGGAAATCCATCAATTCTATGATGAATTTCTACTACAATGACAATTTAATTATGAGACAAACAAAGAATAGAAGACAAGACAAATTATTTCTGCAGAGTTTCTCTCTGCTCACAAACTGTGAAAACTTTATTATTCACTTTGCAACTGCAAAAAACTGTGAATGACTTGCTTACAAAAATAGGGGTTACTCCCTCTATTTAAAACTGAGCTTACACCCTAAGCCCAAAGCCCAAAATATCTATTTTGTTACTAAATAAAATCTAATATATTCTAGACTTAAATCAAATCTATTTAAATCTAAAACAAATCAAATCTTTTCAACACTATGAACTACAATTTAACACACCACCTAATTCATTGTGTCTAAACTATCTATATTCATCATGACTCTTAGCCTTTTGAATACTTCGACTTGCACTCCCTTCATCATGATGTCTGCAATCTGATTCTCAGTTCTGCAGTGTTCCAAATTCATCTTCCCATTTACTACCTGCTCTCGAAGATAATGGAACCTCATTTCGATGTGCTTACTTCAACCATGTGCTATTGGGTTCTTCGCCATATTGATAGCTGACATGCTGTCGATCTGTTGGTGTAAGCCCTAGAGGCTAATACTTTTGGTACTTGTATCGAATTATTTATTAATAATAAAAGGCATTTCTTTATTATGTTTTCCAAAATAATAAAGTCCCTAGAATAGTTTATTTGTTTAATGAAATGTTAAGTGTGACTTAATCATGAGATCCCATTAAACATAAGACACTATTCTTAAAGTATCCGTAGTCAAGCTTTAATGTGAAGTGGGATAACATTAAAGCATTAAGATTACTATGAAGATAGATTGATGATCACATCTCATGGATCATAGATAAGGAGTTATCAAGTCTTGACATAGGTATGAATATTAGGAGTAATATTTATACTGGATTGACCCGCTATGAGAATACTACATAGAATGTTATGCAAAGTGTCATAAGTTATTCTCATGATGATAATGGTGTATACCACCCTTCGACCTGAAACCACTATGGACCCTAGATGTAGAGTCAAATACTTTATTGCTGATCAAACGTCATCCGTAATTGGATGACTATAAAGACGGTTGATGGGTACTTCACAAAGCATGCTAAGGGACATGAGTGACCTAGATGGAATTTGCTCATCCTGCATAATAGGATAAATGTCTAAGGGCCCAATATTGAACTGGACAAGGGTGACACAGTGTATGCCTTGTGTTCAATATAGACATGAGGGCAAAAGGGTAATTATATAACACAAATATTATCACGAAAAAGGTTTGGTCAGATCACATGACATTTTCGTGACTTGGGTAACAGTGATATGTTGCTAGATACCGCTCACTGTTTATTATATTAAATGTGTGATTTAATATAATTGCCAACGTCGCGAAAACCTACAGGGTCACACACATAAGGACAGGTTGATGAGAGATAGAATAAATAAGGAACACCGTAAGGTACGGTGCACTTAAGTGTAATACGAAAAGTGATAAGGTACCACGTGGATAAGTGATATATGGTACATCATAAGGTATGATGTCCATAAGCTTAATTGGGCTTTTAGCTTATAGCCTTAATTGGGCTTTTAGCTTGTAGCCCACACGAGTGATTCTATAAATAGATCCCTTGTGATGAAGCAATTTCACTTGATGCAATTTCGTTTTTGATTCTCTCTCTCACTCAAGGTTTTTGTTCGTGATCAACTAGCACTGTGACCGGAAGTGATCTGTTCGTGTGGAATGAGTAGAGGCGTTGTTCTTCATCAACGCTCGTGATCACGATGTCAAAGGTCTGAATCGCCACAAGAGGTAAATATTTCTATCACTGACCATGCTCATTCGTAAGGATCGCTAAAGGAAAATTTTATATTCTGCTGCGTTTTTGATCGCAATTTTCCTTCACGATCTTCATGGTAATTGCTCTATGATCTTTCCCTGTTATCTCTTCGACCAAGTTCACCATCCAAGTTGCTTGACATGCACAAAGAGAAGCAACTATATATTCTGCTTCACATGATGATAATGCCACTACTGGTTCCTTTCTTGAATTCTAAGCAACTGGTGCACCACCTAGCATAAACACATATCCCGCTGTTGACTTTCTATCTTCAACATCACTATACCAACTCGAATCAGTGTAT